TACCACTTGTAATCGCGGGGAGGGGGGGGGGGGTGTAACTAACACTTGACCAATAGCAATAATCTATTTACAATCAACAGTTTAACATATCTGTGATATGTGACAAATTTACTCTCAAATAACCAGTTCTTGACTTTTAACATTTTATATCCAGGATACTACATTGAAAGTAGTTAGGATCAAATATATGTTATTTCGATCGATATATGGTGCCTGAAATTTAGGAATTATCACCCAGGTGATAAGTCTGAACCAGGAAACTATAAAGGCATCACTCTGCTTAATAGTCTGAGTAAGGTATTCTCTTCAATTCTGAAACATAGATGAATAAAATATGTTAAAGAGAATAATATAATAATGAAAGAACAAATTGGGTTTATGCCAAAGTTCAATACAGCTGATCAAATCTTTGTGCTGAAACAATTACTGGTGAAACAACTCAATAACCGTACACATATTTTTGTCCGCTTTATTGACCTCAAAAAAGCATTTGATTCAATTTGGCATATTGGATTGCTATACAAATTGCAAAAAAATAACATATCAGGAAAATTTTACAATAGATACGATAAGATAATTCTTTATTACAACCATATATTGAAAGAAATTCAATTTAGGTGAATACAAATGTAATAAAGGTATAACAAACTATTCTACAAACTAGAACTATACTTATCATAAAGATACAGAAATATTATTACTGGTATTTCCATGAGTTTTTGTTTAACATTGATAATATTGTTTTCTTGTCGTATATGATGTTTTTATGTATTTAATTAATTCTTGCATCAATGGTCTGTTCTCAAAATGTAAACAAGTTTTTCTGTATTATTTGCTTGAACAAAATTTTCAATTGATTCTGAAAATTTTGTATATAATCTTATTCTGGCCTCAGTATAAAGACTACATGATATGAAAAAGTGTAGCGCATCTTCAGTAATATTACATTTTGCACATCTTCAATTTTTATTTTTGGTTTTTGGTGTCTTCCAGATTCAATGATAAGTTTATGTGCACTCAGTCTAAGTCTAGAAATAAGGCCAGTATCCTCTCTATTTTGTACTGTTTTTAAGTATTTGGCAATTTCAATCTTATTCTTGAATAATTTATATGTTCGTATATAGTTTTGAGTTTGGATCATTACTGCTCAAGTTCCATTTTGTTTCATAGTAGTCTTCAGTTTTCTGTTTAAATTCATCTTTGTTGATGTTTTTATGTCATGTATTTTGAAAATTTGTTGTAATTTCTGAAGATTTGTAAACCAAGAATCTTTGTATTGATTCTGTTGCACAAAGTGACCCACCAACTTATTTAACTAGTCCCATCTCATGCTTATTTTATGCAGATGATCTAGTATTACTCTCAAAGTCAAAAAACTGCCTTCAAAATGCTATAAACTCAGTGTAAACATATTGTAATAAATGGAAACTAGAAGTAGATGTATCAAAATCTAAAATCATGATTTTCAACAAATCTGACAAAACCATAACAAAATATGAATTTGTAATTAATGGAAAACCACTTGAAAGTTTATCCTCTTACCTAGATTTGAAACTAAACACAACTGGTAAACTTATCAGACCTCAAGAAGATCTCAGCCATAGAGCGATGAAAGCTTTCTTCAAAATAAAACAATTGTTATACTCTGAAAACAATAATTCAGTCACAGCATACCTAAAACTATTTGATAGTATGGTTAAACCTATCCTGATCTATTGCAGCGAAATTTGGACAAGTGACTGCGTACTACATATAAAAGATATTTTTTATAGATTTCATAACAAAGTTTGCAAATACATTTTACAGGTAAACTGAAAAGCCAGTCACTTGGCATGTATTTTGGAATTAGGTAGACACCCTATTTTACTGACTAGTATAAAACAAATGATAAAATATTGGCTAAAAATAAAAACAAAGAATGAAAACACACTAGTCAATCAATCAAGCATACAGACTTGGCATAGAAATGGATGGTTAAAGGCATTCAGTGGAAGAGAGAAAATGCCACTACTGTCAGGAAAAACAAATAGAAGATGAAAACCATTTTCTATCAAAATGTTCTCTCTATGCTGATTTAAGAAACAAGTTCAATTGACAAATCTGATATTGAAAACACTGTAGACATTCTAAAAACAAAAGATATCACTAATTAATTTGGCAAAATATATCTGAGTGCTTCAATTTAAGAAATGACACCCATAAACAAAAAATACCAGCTGCTTTACAATTTTTATAACTGATATAACTCATTAAGATACCTTTTTCTGTTGTTTTTTTCTAACCATTCCTTGTTCTCTGTTTTTATTTTATTATGTTTTCATTTTGTCTTCTTTTGTATTTTGTCTTTCCATTTTGTATGTATCTGAAACTTTATTGCATTTTAAAAATCCAGAACCAAAACCAAAAGAATAAACTGCGAACATATAGACTACTAAAGAAAAATGCCAGTATGAAAATTATCTAACAACAGTAACAAATGCAAAACATAGAGCAGCATTAACAAAATTGAGAATTAGTGCCCATAATTTAGAAATAGAGAAAGGACGATACAAAAATATTCCTTGCAGTGGTAGAAAGTACACTGCTTGCGACCAAAATGAGATTGAAGACGAAATGCATTTCTTACTTGAATGCAAGCTGTATGAAAATGAGAGAACTGAAATGTTGAAGGAAATAAATTTAATACATTGCAACAACACAAATACTAATAAATTGATTACAATGCTAACAAGCAATAACAGCCAAAAAATAACAAAACTAGCATGGCTACATCTATAATTGTTTCAGTGCCAGAGAAAATCATTTCGAAAAAAGTACCAGTTGCCCCTAAATAAATTTTAATTTTCAATTTTAGCACTTCCATTTTGTTACTTCTTCAGTTATTTCATCTTTATTGTAATTTTCTTTTTCTGAGTCAATATCCAAATAAGGATATGATTATGCAATACAGATTATTATTATTATATTATAATATGATATAGACATGGCAAATTTAATGGGACAGTTGTGCAATATGCAACATAAGCAACAAGTACACGCTACACGAGTAAGGTTTAAACAATGCACTTTATTCCACACATGTCAGGAGTTTACAGGATATACCTGACTCGCTAAAAGGGGTAGTTGGATACATGTTACACTACCCGTAATATATTATTAAAGTAAACACCTAAATCGGAAATTTACATAATTGTCTAACATAGAAGCTTGCATGCATGCATAAAACTACAAGACAAACATACATAACAAACAACAATGAACACAAATAATACTGAAGATCCGACACAGCCCTCCCTACATATAGTTTCTTCAAACTAGATGAAACAAGTCTTTGCATGATGACGATGAATTTTCCAGCGATACTTCACTAACGCTGACGACGACAGTAATTATAGAACGCGGCCAGAAGCACTATAGTTGTAGAACACACGCTGCACACTCGGTCGAACACGCTACCAATCAATTACATAAATTATCTGTCCAATATTCGTAACTTGTGGAAGGAGTCTAGCTGTCTGGGTGGAATCCCTTGCACCACAGAACACATCAGTAGCCAGCAACATAAATTAGGAGGCGCTTCTAGTTTGAAACCAAAATCAGGAATGTCATTCACTGACGAGTTTCCCCACATGTTAACTGCAGTAAGGCAGAATTAACCAATAGAGTTATCTTTATGATGCACAGTCTGTGAATCACAATACATGAATTTGTATGACAATACACAGTGCATTCATTGTTCTAACTTTACTGCCAAATGCGTGATTAGTGGACACATGGAAATTGGTATAATTAACAGTCTGCCAGCTACGGCGAAACAACGTCCTCCAGTTTATATCACAAACTCCCATGATGCAATATCATGTAATGGCTTACTGTTACAGTAGTACCTACAAGATCGGATATCCACATTTGGTCACATATGAACGTTCAGATAGGGTTCTATCAAAGTCTGCTTCTCTAGTACTGATAAGAAACACGACTCTATATTTAACACCTATCTATCACCATAAGACAAACTGAACCATTTGTACTCTAAATTTGTTGGATTTTCAAAAGACAAAACATTTGCTATGAGCAACGGAGACCATGCTGTAGTATCGAAAACCTATTAAGGTTTGGGTAATTATTTGTGAAAATGTGAAGAAAAAAATCTTGACAGTGAACATCCAAGCGTTAATTTTCACTTATTGGCAACCACCAGCAATGAAAACTGTACATTGAGATAGTTATTAAGACTCGTAAATAGTGTAACAAACCCTACATGCGCAACATATATCAATTTAGTTGTTCGGGATTTTTCAGGAAAGTTGAGTTCTAATAATTATATTTTCACTTCTAGAGCAACATGATTTTCTATACTGCAAAACTCATGCACAGTGATGAGAGTTCCAAATAAAGACAGCACTGTCAGTTGGGAAACAAGAGGAGGTCAGGGAATATCAATTTTCAGGCATTTTGGAGATTTCTTGAATCATTTACATTAAAAAATTCCAACCCACTTCTAGACCATAAATGTGTCAATATTCAACTGATACCTATTGCTATACAAACTGGTGGGTGCTACATACCCGTCATATAGCATTTTTATGGGAGGATTTCCACAGCACCTAGCACAGACTAAATGCATTTAGTATTCTCGATTGCACTAGGCTGGATTTTAGTCTAACACAGAACCCATAGAAATATATGATATAGTGGTACCATCCATGCGGCATAGAACTTTCCTAAGAAAACTATTGGTTACGCAGGTTTCACACAAAGATTCCTTATTTGGTCATCGTCTCACTATTATGCTTCAGCAGAACATGATGACACATTTCCTTTGGAAATCTAACAGAAAGTTGAATGTTTTTGTTTACCATGTAATGTAAAAATGCTCTGTTCATGTCGGAGTTTGCAACGGTTTCTCAATGGATCCTCTCTAATTTGTAAGTAGATCGAACAACTGTAAAGTTACATTTTCTGCTCAACAAAGTAACACACATAATTTTGGTTCAGTTGTGTACATAATACTACCTATAACCATAGGATATTCATAAAAAACACAGCTATATGTTCCAGTCATCCCATAATTTCCATACTGCGTATGTAATCAGCACCGAATCATGAAATTGTAATTTTGGGACTCATAGATGTATAACTATACCTAATGATTCTGTTATATGTCCCCCCTGTATCACATATTTATTAAATTGTTCATTTCACTGGAAATGTATTGTTGTATTGCGTTTTATCGAGTTGTCTCAGTTTTGGTTTGTGTCCAATAATCACATAGCTTGTTGATATCTACCAACATGTGCAGTAAATTGGAAGGTATTATGGAATATGTAAATAAAAACGAACTATTAGATGTGTGATAAAATACTGCTGGTGAACAGAGACAAATAGATGATGATGTTGGAAATTTGGGCAATAGAGATCTTGCAGGGCAGAATTTACAACATGTTTTATTTGGTATTATGATACAATCACTGACTTCTGTCACGATCCATATACAGATTTGTCGATGCTTAGAGGCTTTGGTTCCGTCAACAATGCTCTCTTCACAAATGAGTTCATTGACCATGACAGAGTTCAATATTTATACTGATTTAATGTTTAATTTCTATATCTAATGTTAATATACTTATTGACTTAACACAGGGTATGCTAAGTTGCATGCATACATTTCCTCTCGTTTCCAGTTATGAATGAACTTCCGGTAACACTTATTCATCTTTGTTTTCTCTTTTCAAATTGCAAACAATAGTTGAAACCCGATGAAGTTAGTAATGCAGTAAAGTCTGCTATTGACATTGGTTATCGTCATATCGATACAGCACAATTGTATAATAATGAAAAAGAAATCGGAGACGTCTTAGCAGAAGTACTCAGTGATGGGGCAGTGAAGAGAGAAGAACTTTTTATAGTCACTAAGGTCATTCGTTTAATGTATATAAGTACAACATTCATGATTACTTTCAAATTTCTGGGCATAATTGTTTAGATTTGTATGTTTTTTACAATTCTAAATGGTGTAGTAAGGTAATTGAAATTGTGTTTCAAAGAACAATTTATATCAATGATTTTTATTGTAATTCTCCTGCTAACTGGTTTATTCACAGTTGTCTTTCTTTAACATGGCTCCACAATGTGTACGAGCTAATTTTCTGGATTCTCTGAAGAAGTTGCGTTTGGATTATATTGACTTATACTTGATTCACGCTCCTATGGCAATACAGGTAAAATAATTATTGTTTACTTTCACTGTATATATAATATTTGATCGTACACTATGAAACATGTATAGTCATTTTTCGTTGTGTTTGGGATTTGCCCGTTTGTCTGTGTATGTGTGCTTTTCTATAGACATCTCAAAACACTCCACATTTTTTAGTGAAATTGAGGGAAATGCACATATCTGATAAGGTTTGGGTTGAAATCTATGCATATTAACTACCTTGTTTGCATAGCCATTTTCAGCTTTTCCATGAATATCTCATGAATCAGTGAAATCATTGCACACTACCTATAAATAATTTTTATAAATTTGGTCATGTGATCTCATTAATATGCATAACTGCATTATCTCATGTAATATATATTGGACCAGTGCATTATTGTAGCTAACATATAATTCGACCATATTTGATCAAGTGATCTCATTAATATGCATATTTTTATATTTTTTTGCCGTGTAAGTGTAGTGTTTATGCCTTCATTGGTAAGCGTAGTGTTTATGCCTTGATTGGTAAGCATAGTGTTTATGCCTTGATTGGTGAGCATAGTGTTTATGCATTGATTGGTAAGCCGCGTGTTTATGCCTTGATTGGTAAGCATAGTGTTTTTGCTTGATTGGTAAGCATAGTGTTTATGCCTTGATTGGTAAGCATAGTGTTTATGCCTTGATTGGTAAGCATAGTGTTTTTGCTTGATTGGTAAGCATAGTGTTTATGCCTTGATTGGAATGCATAGTGTTTATGCCTTGATTGGTAAGTGTAGTGTTTATGCCTTGATTGGTAAGCATAATGTTTATGCCTTGATTGGTAAGCATAGTGTTTATGCCTTGATTGATAAGTGTAGTGTTTATGCCTTGAGTGGTAAGCATAGTATACATGCTTTGATTGGTAAGCATAGTGTTTATGCCGTGATTGGTAAGCATAGTGTTTATGCCTTGATTGGTAAGCAGTGTTTATGCCTTGATTGATAAGTGTAGTGTTTATGCCTTGAGTGGTAAGCATAGTGTACATGCCTTGATTGGTAAGCATAGTGGGTATGCCTTGATTGGTAAGCATAGTATTTATGCCGTGATTGGAATGCATAGTGTTTATGCCTTGATTGGTAAGCATAGTGTTTATGCCTTGATTGGTAAGCATAGTATTTATGCATTGATTGGTAAGTGTAGTGTATATGCCTTGATTGGTGAGCATATTGTTCATGCCTCGATTGGAAAGCATACTGTTTATGCCTTGATTGGTAAGCATAGTGCTTATGCCTTGATTGGTAAGCATAGTGTTTATGCCTTGATTGATAAGTGTAGTGTTTATGCCTTGATTGGTAAGCATAGTTTTTATGCCTTGATTGATAAGTGTAGTGTTTATGCCTTGAGTGGTAAGTATAGTGTACATGCCTTGATTGGTAAGCATAGAGTTTATGCCTTGATTGGTAAGCATAGTATTTATGCCGTGATTGGAATGCATAGTGTTTATGCCTTGATTGGTAAGCATAGTGTTTATGCCTTGATTGGTAAGCATAGTGTTTATGCCTTGATTGGTAAGCATAGTGTTTATGCCGTGATTGGTAAGTGTAGTGTTTATGCCTTGATTGGTAAGCATAGTGTTTATGCCTTGATTGGTAAGTGTAGTGTTTATGCCTTGATTGGTAAGCGTAGTGTTTATGCCTTGATTGGTGAGCATAGTGTTTATGCATTGATTGGTAAGCGTAGTGTTTATGCCTTGATTGGTAAGCATAGTATTTTTGCTTGATTGGTAAGTGTAGTGTTTATGCCTTGATTGGTAAGCATAGTGTTTATGCATTGATTGGTAAGCGTAGTGTTTATGCCTTGATTGGTAAGCATAGTATTTTTGCTTGATTGGTAAGTGTAGTATTTATGCCTTGATTGGTAAGCATAGTGTTTATGCCTTGATTGGTAAGCAGTGTTTATGCCTTGATTGGTAAGTGTTGTGTTTATGACTTGATTGGTAAGCATGGTGTTTATGACTTGATTGGTAAGCATAGTGTTTATGCCTTGATTGGTAAGCATAGTGTTTATGCCTTGATTGATAAGTGCAGTGTTTATGCCTTGAGTGGTAAGCATAGTATACATGCCTTGATTGGTAAGCATAGTGTTTTTGCTTGATTGATAAGTGTAGTATTTATGCCGTGATTGGAATGCATAATGTTTATGCCTTGATTGGTAAGCATAGTGTTTATGCCTTGATTGGTATGCCTAATGTTTATGCCTTGATTGATAAGTGTAGTGTTTATGCCTTGATTGGTAAGCATAGTGTACATGCCTTGATTGGTAAGCATAGTGTTTATGCCGTGATTGGAATGCATAGTGTTTTTGCTTGATTGGTAAGTGTAGTGTTTATGCCTTGATTGGTAAGCATAGTGTTTATGCCTTGATTGGTGAGCATAGTGTTTATGCATAGATTGGTAAGCGTAGTGTTTATGCCATTATTGGTAAGCATAGTGTTTTTGCTTGATTGGTAAGTGTAGTGTTTATGCCTTGATTGGTAAGCATAGTGTTTATGCCTTAATTGGTAAGCATAGTGTTTATGCCTTGATTGGTAAGCACATTGTTCAT